GTTCACGACTTAACCTGCCCTTACACCCCGCAGCAAAATGGCATGGCGGAGCGGGAGATGAGGACGGTGGTGGAGTCGGTGCGGACGATGCTGCTGCACATGGGCGTGCAGCACCACTGGTGGCATCTCGCTCTGCGGCAGGCCGTCTGGGTTCGCAACTGCCTGGAGCGGTCGACGCTGCCCGCGGGGACGATGCCGCACCAGCTTCTCACCGGGCAGAAGCCCGACCTGTCCCTGGCGCGGGTGTGGGGTTGCATGGCGCAATTTCTCGTCCCTGAGCAGCAGCGCGGTGGGAAGCTGAAGCCGAAGGCCCGGTGGGGCCTTCACCTCGGCGTGTCGGAGGAGAGCAAAGGCTGGGAGCTCCTTGACATCGCCGACGACCGGGTGGTCACCACGTCGGACGTAGTGTTCTACGAAACTCTGTCGCTGGAGGTGTGGAAGTCGGAATTCGGGCCCGCGTCGGGGCGGACGCGGGCCAACCCGCCGACGGACACTTCGACGGCGACGCTTCCTCTGCTCGCCGAGGTCGGTGAGCAGGCTGATAAGGATGTCGCGGTCGCCCCTGCCTCGCCATCTCCTGCCCCTTCTTCCCATTCCCTTCCCGTCGAACTGCGTGGCCTTCCTCCGGTGTCGGCCTCCGGCGATGAGGGGAGTCGTGGGGCGTCGCCTGTGGCGCCGGCCAAGAGCATCGCCGGTGGCCGACGTGACGCCCAGCCAGTCGCGGAGAAGAGGACCGTGGAGGAGACCGCGAAGAAAACCGCGACGGGCACCGCGAAGGACACCGCGAAAACCGCGAAGGAGACCGCGGACGAGACCGCGGAGGAGACCGCGGAGGAGACCGCGGAGGAGCCCGCGGCTAGCAGGCAGCTGACAGGGAATCAGGCAGCGGCTAAGCCGACCGCGGAGCAGTTGGCAGGGGAGCTTTCGAACGGGAAGCGCGTTTCAGAGAAGCTGTCGACAGGGGAGCCGTCGAACGCGGAGCTCGCTTCAGAGGAGCGAACGACAGGGGAGCAGTTCGATGAAGGCACATCGAGCGACGTGGTGGAGGTGCAGCCCGGACCTCGGAAGTCGGGCCGAATTCGGAGGCCATCCGACTTCTTCGTCCCCGCTGCCTTCACCACGGTGTACGATGTGGACGACGACGACCTGGCGTACGATGACGCCGAGGACGATGAGGAGTTTTCGGAGCTCGACCCCGACATGCACGCCGATCCCGAGCACCGTTGGGACATTTCGACCATGACGGTGAAGGAGGCGTTGGCGAGCTGGAAGGGCCCGGCGGTAAAGGCCGCCATGGAGGAGGAGATTCGTAGCCTCATCAACATGGGCACTTGGGAGCTGGTCGAACGCCCGCCGGGGGTGAACGTAATGAAGAACCGGTGGGTACTGATAACGAAGTACCGCATCGACGACACTGTCGAGCGCGAAAAGGCGAGGCTAGTCGTGAAAGGCTTCACGCAGGTGTATGGCGCTGACTACGACGAGACGTACGCGCCGGTGAGCAGCTACGTCACGCTGAGGATTTTCCTCAGCATCGTCGCCGTCCTCGACCTCAACCTGATGCAGCTGGACATGAAGAACGCCTTTTTGCAGAGCAAGCTCGACCGCGTGCTGTACATGTACCAGCCGGACTACTTCAACGACGGGACCGGCCGAGTGTGCAAGCTGCTGAAGAGCCTCTATGGGCTGAAGCAGTCGCCGCTGCTGTGGTACACGGCTCTCAACGACGTGTTGGTTGGCGCCGGGTGGAAGAAGAGCCAAGTCGACGAGGCTCTGTACTTCAAGGCCGGCGACGACAAAGTAACCTGCTGGGTGCTGGTCTACGTCGACGACCTTCTCGCCGCGAGCAGCAGCACCGCGATGCTGAAGGAGCTGAAGGAGCTGCTGGAGGCCGCTTTCGAGCTGCGCGAAATTTCGCCGGTGCAGAAGTAGATCGTGCGCGACAGGCCAGCGCGAAAATTGTGGCTGCACCAGCAGGGCTACGCCGACAAGCTGCGCAGGCGCTTCATCGACGAGGAGCAGACCGGGCGCACTCCGAAGACGCCGGTCTCCGTCGCCGCCTACGCGGAGCAGACATTCGACGACGAGGAGGCGCAGGAGCGCGAGGAGGAGGAGTACCGGCATAAGGTCGGCTCGCTGCAGTTCGCGGCGACGACGACGAGGCCGGACATCGCATTCGCGTGCAGCAAGCTGGGGAGCGGCCTCACGGTGAGGAGCGACCAGCACTGGCGTGAAGCCGACCGCTGTCTCGCCTACCTCGCCAACACGCGAGACACCGCCCTGGAGTACGGCGGTGGTCCGGAGTCACTGGAGTTGGTCGGCTTCGTGGACGCCGACGACGCGGGCGACAAGCAGAACCGGATGAGCACGGGCGGCTACGTGTTCGTCTACGGAGGGGCCGCGGTCTCCTGGTCGAGCCAGCGCATCAAGTGCGCGACACTGTCGTCGACCGAGTCGGAGTACGTGGCGGCCGTCGAAGCCGGCAATGAGGGACGTCGCCTTCGCTTGCTCCTCGCGGAGTTCCAGCGGCTGGACGCCGGAAAGCCGACTGTCCTCAGGGTGGACAACAAGTCGGCCATCACGGTCGGCGAGGGCATGGGGTTGACGGGCAACCTCAAGCACATGGAACGGCGACAGGCCTGGCTGCAGCACATGGTGAAGCGCGGGAAGTTTTCGTTGAAGTACATCCCGACCGCTGAACAGCCGGCCGACTTCCTGACGAAGGCGCTGCACTACCCGGCCTTCAACCGGTGCTCCGTTGCAATCGGCCAAGTGCGCCTGGCCGATGTGGGCGACGGAGACAACGACGTGCAACAGTAGGTGCCATGCCCTTTTGCATGGCTGGTGCGGTGACCGGCGTGCTATGCGTTGTGTGCACGCCGACGGGCTATTCTCCGAGCAGTACTGCCGTGTGGGCCGGGGGGGGCCCAAGCGTGAACGCGGCAGGGGAGTGTCAACGGGAGTTGTGTTTGGCCCCGTCCTCGCTTGGGCGGAGCCAACCGTGGGAGCCACGAAATCGCGGTGGACCGTGGGAGCCACGAAATCGCGGGGGACCGTGGAGCCACGAAATCACGGGGGACCGTGGATCCACGAAATCGCGGGGGACCGTGGAGCCACGAAATCACGGGGGACCGTGGATCCACGAAACCGCGGAGGACCGCGGTGGCCGAGAAACCGCGGGAAGACCGCGAAATACCCGGTCAACCAGGATACCCGGGCGACGTGCGCGAAAGTCGCCGGGGATGTTGTCTGCGAGGACGACCTCGGGGGTGGTATCCCGAGGTCGACGTGGCTGGTGGGCGCCGTCACGGGTGAAGTGTCTGCGCTGGGCGTGTGACGGGGAGTTGGGCGCCAACCAGCTGCACGCACCTGCGAAGCTGGTGCACCGTTGTCCCGCGGATGCAACGCTGTGCAGCCGACCTACTGCAGCGTTGGCACACCGCGGACCTGCAACGCTGGCAAGCCGCGACTCTGCTCTGCTGGAGCGCGGTCGACCAAAGTCGTGCTGGCACGCGGTCGACCGTGCTGCGCTGGCAGTGGACCGGCAGCCTTGCTAGGTCTGATGTAGTCAGTGTTGCCAATGTTGATGCAATCATTTCTGAACTTTTGTTGTGATGTTTTCCTAGTGAAACTCTTGTCAATTTTCCCCGTGAACTAGCAAGCAGTGTTAGCACTTGGAAACGACTAAGGAACGAACGAACGCTACGATCACTCTTGCCCCGTGCCTAGCCCGTAGTCTATCTCCCCGTTGCACTAGTTATCTCCGCACTTCATACAGGAACAGGGTTAGGAGCTAGGATAGAACTTCTACAGGACGGCGTCCCCAGTCTCGCCGACATCCGCCGTCTCCTCTACTCAGCCGCTCACTCACCACAGTCGATGGACCCGAGACCTCACCCTTCCTCCTCCCCCTCTCCCTGGCCTTAAGGATCATTTTCTCAAAGACCAGCCGAGCCGCCAACGGGATATCCTGTTCAGACTCTACACACTAACTCTTCCCTCTGGATCACGCTTCCAATACTTTGACGACCGAGGGATCTGCCCCCGGTGCCCTGCTGCTGTTGTCGAGACACTGCCGCATATCTTCTTCGAGTGCGCCTCCGCTGGAAACGTCATCTCTGCTTTGCGCACAGTCGCTGACCGTCACCTCGGACAAACCTCCCCCGCCGAACACATCTTCTTCCCGATACAATCACGGGTTGGACAGTCCCCCCCATGGAGCTTACTAGTAGGAGCTGCAGCCAAGGCTTTGTGGAACAGCCGCTGTGACCACTGGTACCGCAACTCCTCCTCCTCGAGCTTCGAGATATTGCAGCTCATCTTAGCCCAGTTCCTCATCGCCTTCAAAATTTATATGTGGAGAGGCAAACGCCAATCGGCCAAGAAGCGTCAGCGTATATCATCTAGCATCAAGCGAGCACAGAAACTCCGCTTCCTCCTCTTTGACAGGACCGGCACACCCTCTATTCACCCCGACCTAAGATTCTCCTGGCTCTTGGGAAACCCGTTCCAACCACCATAGATGTCCATCGCATAGAGCGTCTCCCTAGGCAGCTGGCGGTTGTCCGCGAGGACAATGAATAACGTGTGTTCCACGTGCTCCGCTGCGGATGCTGACCACCTCGGCCATGTTTCTAGACTGCTCTATGGATTAACCCTTGTACATTGATTACGATCAATATATAACCTTAACCTTAACCAATCCATCCAACCACTAAGCAGATGAGTTGCGCGGTTGTTGTCAATCCAACCATCCAGCCTTTCAATTTTCAACCCTTTGGCCAGGCCCTCATTTGCACGAACTTGATAACATCCTCGATGTTCTTTATTCCGAGCATACGCATAACGCGGACTCGGTCCCGCGTATGCCGATTATGCAGTCTTCGTAGTCCCTCAAGCGTGCACGATCGCAGCGTTCGTAGAATTACGTGACGTATTTACCTGCTGCAAAGAACGCGATTCGTTCCGCTCGAGCTGCAGCTGGTGCTGATAACGGCGCAATGGCCGGGCACGAGGGCTCGTCGGCGGATTGGATGGCGCATCTCGAGCGCGCCTTGCGCTCCACGCAGCCTGGTGGGTCGCCGCTGAAACCACGGTGCGCAGCACATGTAACGTGCGTAACCCTAATCGCAGTTAATCGTAAGCCCTGAGATTCGTACGCGCCGATCTGTTGATCACTAGTAGGTGTTAGTCCTCGCTGCCGCGCCGCTTCCATCGTCACTGCGAAAGAGACATTCTTCTGCTCCACTCCCAGCCGCCTCCTTCTCCCTGCCTTCTCATTCCCACCCGCTGTGCCTTGTCATGCCATCGCCTGCTTCCGTTCCGGCAAATCCCAACGGCCTCACTAACCACCTTTCCCCCGCTCCTCCACTCGCCCCCACCTCGTCCCAATCTCCCTTCAGCCCTTTCCGCTCCCCGCCTTCGTCCTCGTCCCCGTCTCCTGCCACCATGAGCCGCGCTGCTTTCGCTGCACTCCGCTCACCGCTCTCCCTTGCCTCCCTCCCTCTCACACCTTTTCCACCCTTCCGCCTGTCCCCGCCCTCTCAGCCACCCAGTGCCACAGCATTCTCGCAGCGGGGCCTGCCCTCGTGGAATGGACGCTGGGGCAACAGCCAGGGAGGGGCGCGGGGGCGGGGAGGAAGAGGAAGAGGGGGAGGGAGGCGGAGAGCGGGAGGGGGAGCGGGTGGGGGGAGCAGGGGCAGCGGCAACAAGCCCATGTGTCCGAGAGTGACGTGGCACGATTCAATTCGTTGGTTCTGCGCCTGGCTGATGCCTTCAGCAGCAGCAGCAGCAGCGCCACCCGCCTCTGCATTCTCAAGCTCTTCCTCCTCCACCTCACCACTGCTGCCTCCCCACTCCCTCTCTCTCCTCCCGCTCCTCCTTCTACCTCTCCTCCTTCTCCCTTTCCTGCATCTCATCATGCCACGTCAGCTGCAGCAGCTGCCCCCTCCCTCACACCCGCCGCCCTGAGAACGCCCCCCGGTGCTGGGAGGTGCGACGCGGGTGGTGACGCCATGCCTGACGTCAGCAGCATGTGTGACGTCAGCCTGCTGCATTGGCGGTGGAGGAGGGAGGGAGAGCGAGTGAGGGATGTGTGGAGGGGAGCGAGAAGAAGGGGAGAGAGAGTGGTCACGAGGGAAGGAGAGAGAGAAAGTGGTGGTGCTGCCATGGATAGTTTTGGTGATGATGGGAGCAGTGGTGATAGTGATGATTGCAGTGCGAGTGATGGTGCCGATAGTACTGGCAGTGATGGTGGTGCTGGCGGTGGCAGTGACTGGGCGGGCGTGTTGACTGCTCGGAAGCTCTTGAACCCAACCCAAGTCATCACCCGCATCGCCCCTCTGCTCTCTCGCTCCCGCTCCTTTCCACTCCCACCCACCGCAGCAGCAGCAGCAGCAACAGCTGCCACTTCCCATGCAGGCACAGCAGGCACAACCATGCCAGCAGGCACAGCAGCTGCAACAGCAGCTGGCGCTGTTGACTCCGTTGACTCCCTTGAATCCCGCTGTCTCGCGCTGCGCCTGATTGGCTGCCTCGCTCCACTGGCTGCTGACGTGGCACACGTGCAGGAGTTGGTGGTGCGGGCGGCAATGGAAGCAGAGGGACAGCAGGAGGTGAGCGAGGGGAGCGGGGGGAGGGGGAGAAAGAGGGGAATAAGGGGGAGTAGGAGGTGAGGTGGGTGGTGTGTTTAGGTTTGCATGTGTGTGTGCGTGCGTGCGTGCGTGCGTGCGTGCGTGGGCGTGTTGTGCATGTGTGCGTGTGTGCGTGTGTGCGTGTGTGCATGTGTGCGTGTGTTCTGTATCTGGTGGAGAAAACGGGGAAAGGAAGGGGGTGGTTGGGTGGGTGGAGGGGGAAGAAGAAAGGTGGTGGTTGGGTGGTTGTGTGCGTGCGTGCGTGCGTGTGTGCGCTTTTGTTGTCATTATTCTGCAGGCCTTGCTTGCTCTTCGCTTCATTGTGTTCTCGCAATTCCCCTCCCTCGTTGTACCTCGCCCATCCCACACCTCCTCCTGCTCCGCTTCGTGCCTATATAGCCGCCTGTCCTCCCCTCCCTTTTTCACGGTTTCCTCCCTTCCCTCAACCCGGTCCTTCCCTCTCCACGCTTCCCTGCTTAACTCCTAGCTCCATCACTCTCTCGTCGCTGCTCGCGTCGCGTCCCCTTCCATTCCTTCCCTCGCACCCCAACCTCCATGCTGCCACACTTCACCCCAACCTCCATGCTGCCACACTTCACCCCAACCTCCATGCTGCCACACTTCACCCCAACCTCCATGCTGCCACACTTCACCCCAACCTCCATGCTGCCACACTTCACTCCAAAAGCCCGCTTTCACTGCCTCTCCATCCTTACTTTCCCTTGCAACTGTCTTCCCACCCCAACCTCCACGCAGCTCTCCTTGCGGCCACATTCCTCCGTGTTGTCTCTGCCCCCTTCATCCTCAACCCCCCTTCGTTCCCTCCATTCTACGTATCTTTCCCTTTTCTCCCTCTCTCCCTTCTTCCCATCCTTCTCTCCCTCCTGTTCCTCCCCCCTTTCCCCAACTCGCCCACCCTCAGCTCCATACAGCTCTCTTCATTCTCAACTTCCTCCCCTCCTTGGTTCTATTGTTCAACAACCCTCCCACCCACCCCCCTCTCCCCCTACATCCCCACGCCCCAACCCCCACCCCAGCAGCGCCATGCAGCTCTCTTCGCGCTCACCTTCCTCTGCGACGTCTCTCCTCCCTTCGCCCTCCACACTCTCCCCCTCCTCCTCTCCCTCGCTCTCCCCGCCTCCCCACCGCCACCCCTGCCTCTCTCCCTCAAACGCCATCTGCACCGCTCCTCACACCTGCCTCTCCCGCAGCAAACCAAGCAGCCTCGAGTGAGAGGAAACGCACACAGGAGTCAAGAAGAGGCAGACGGGCATGTGGCGGGGAAGCGGCAGCAGCAACAGCCTGATGACTCGCCAGCTGCCCACGCACCGTTGCACCCACACTCGTTCGCCCACTCCCTGTCTCCACACACACTCCTACCACTGGCCCTACACACGCCTCTTCTCACATCCTCCTCCCACATGCCACGTGTCAGCCGCCCATTGGCCCGATGGAGGGGGCGTGAGGAGGGGGAGGAGGGGGTGCGGGTGCGAGTGGCAGCAGTGGTGGTGAAGTGCCTGGCGGGGCATGAGGAGAGGGCTGTGAGGCGCGTGGCATGGCAGGTGAGAACAGGGATGGGAGGGGGAGAAGGGGGGTGGATGAGAGGGTCAGAAGTGGGAGCAGTTGGGTGAGAAGGTGACTTGGTAGGCGTTGAGCAGTTGGAAGCACAGCAGCACGAGAGGAGTGGCGAGGCAGGTGAGGTGCCTCGAGGGAAGCACAGCAGCAGCGTTGGTGAAAAGGCCTGCTTTGGTGACTGATTGAGTGTCTGGTGGGACTAGGCTGTCCTTAACTTGAAGTGCGCAAAGTGTCTGATGAACTACTCATAACGTGAATGGGACTAGACCACCCATCACCCCAAGAGTCCAATGTGTGCTGGAGGGTGGTAAGGTATCTTGGCTGGCATGTGTGGTGAGTTGGTTTTTGCGAATTCTTAATAACCACTTTGAATGGCATGCGTGGTGATGAATGCGTAATGTGTTCTTATTCTTCTCTCTCCTCTCCCCCTTGTCACCTCCCCTGCTCCTTGTTTCTCCCAGGTGGCAGTCTGCCTGCTCTCTGCCTTCCCCTGTGCCCCGTGGTCCCCACTGCTGCGATCGTGGGTGTGCGCACTGCAAGCACAGCTTGGCTGATCATTAATTCGTTGGTGTGCCATCACACACACTAACACTGTCATGTGCATTTACCGCCACACATGCCATCACGCCCGTACCCTCACATGCGCTCACACCCGCATCCTCACGCATGTGGTTTCATAGCCTTTGCATGCATGGTAGCATGCATGATCTCACATGCACTCAACTCAACATCCCTTGCGATGCCTACAAGCGTGGAGCAGCGTGGTCCAAGAGCATGCCAGCCAGGCATGGTTATGTGCCCATGTCGTTCCTTTGAAATTTACTCACATATACGTATGACTTTGAGCATCATTGTATCATGGGCTAGGGAAAAAGGTAGTAGAAACCACTCAAGCCTTGTTTCTAATGACCAACACTAAGCTTCAGGTGCAGTGAAATTCTGTTCATGAGCTTTCGCAAAGTACCAGATGAGTGCAACAAAACCAGGACTGGCAGGACATGTACAGGGTAGATAGTACCATAATGAAATGGTGTGCTTGTGCAATTCGCAAATTCCCCAAGGCCAGTCCAGACACGTACATCAACAATATTGCTGTTGAGCCGATATTAAGTACACTAGGTAGCTTCACTAACAGCGGGGTCCTAATGGAAAATACAGTACCTAAAGTACACTACAACATGAGAAGATGCAAAGATGAGATGCTGGACCAACGCCAGCCACCATCTTCAGCTATCACCTCCCACTAGCAGGACACTGTACCATACGACGCTGAATCCCGTCAAAATTTCGGGTTAACGCACCAGCGCGCTCACACAACGCGGATAATCGTGTCCTTTGCGATCGGGTCCTCGCAGCGACGGCCGTTGTTGAGGGCCGCGAATTTGAACTGCTTGCCCGCGTAGTATCGCTTCAGCAACACGGCGCACGTCTCGCCGCGAGTTTGATAGTACTCCGCGAAATCCGCCGCCCTCGTCTTCCTCCCCGCCGCCATGGGAACTGTGTGTAGAATTTTGGTTTACCGATAAAAAAATCGTGATAACAATCAGCTTAAGATTCCAACTCATCAGCATTACCCCAAACGGAGATGCTAAAGAGGGACCAAATAGTAACTTTGTAACCTTAGAAGGTGCTACTACGTACAGCTGCATACTGCAGGTACCACTGGACAACAGGGATAGTAATGGAACGCCGAGGCTGAAAAGAGGCGCAACTCACCGTGGGATGCGAGGAGAAGCGCCAGCGCCAACACCAGCATGGCGCGGACGAAATTCGCTAGGCAGAAAGACGTTGCCATGATGGGAGAGAGATGAATGCAATCGGGAGTTGGACTGAATATGATGAATGAGATGTTCCAGGTGCGCTATTTATGCCGCATGCATCCAGATCAAGGCACATGAAAAAACGAGGGTTCAAATCGGATTTCTATGGGTACGACCAGGGTGTTGAACGATGAAATGCATTCTAGTATGGTAGCCTGTTTCACCTCCACCACCGCTATTCACGCCGCACAGTAAGGTGATCATGGCTTGTGGAAAAGCTTGGGTTCAAATCGGCTCTTATATTTACGACCAGGGTTTGAGATGACGCAATACGTTCCAGTACGGTAACTGGTTTCTGCTCTGCCACCAATTTTTTTGCTAACGCGTTTTTCAAGTAGCAACGCGATCCGAGGCGGGGTGAGGAAACCGAGAAATGCGGGGCTTTGGCTTTGGACCCCTTTGGCTGTTTGACCAGCCAAACAGTAACACATTGTAGATATTACGAGTAACATTGATACACCTACTATAAAACACTCATATTTTGAGCTCCAAAGATTTTTAGGGTGGCCACTTCGAAGCCTAAATGCTGTCCAGGTTAAAATGAGAAAAATGGGTGTCAGAATCAGTCGTCTATTAGCTTTTAATAACTTCAACCTCTTGCTTACAAGACTACCGTACCACTAAGCTTCTGATGCGGGTCACAACTCATCAGTGTTGAGCGCTCGCTCCTGCCAGCTCATGTCCACAGCTTGCACACCACCTCCCTCCCTCCTGAGCCCAGCAGCTTAGTTGAAAGTTCACCAACTCGTGAGCTCCCCAGAACTATTTACTGCAACACGACTGATGTGATATATCATATAAGATTGATTGATCCTGCCCAGTACTGAGCGCCATGTTTCAGCGCACTGAGCTGTTGCACACATGTCAGGGCGCATTGACTTCAACTCCCATGTTCGTTGAACCTAGCCAGTTTCCAAAGAGCACAGCACACCACAATACCAAGGAGAGCGCACTGAGCTGTTGCACACACACACATCCCACACTCCCAACCAATGGCCAGCCCCTGCCTCTTCCTCCTGGCCCTGAAAAGGAAAAGAAAAGAATCATCAAAGAGTGATCATGTGAAAATATGCCGGCAGGAATGCTTGCCAGCCAAGAAGGCATCGGAGGGAGTCATATATTGCAACAATCGAACAAAAAATTACAGTGAAATAATATTGAGATGTCTCAAGAAAGGGACAGGAATACAGTACCTCACAAAGCAACAAACTACCCTGCAAAATTGTACTCACCTCCTCCTCTTCCACCTCCTCTTCCTCCTCTCCCTCCTCCTCGCCCCCCGTCATCCCACCCTCTTCCCCGGCCTCCTCTCCCCCCTCCCCCCTCGTCCATGCGCCCTCTGCCTCCTCTCCCCCTGCCCTGCTGTATCGGCCTGCGATCTGGGAGGAAGGGAGAGAAGAGTGGGAGAAGGGAGTGCAGGAGTAAGGGGGAAAGGGGGGTGGGAATGACGTTTGTGGGGAGAGATTTGAAGTGCTGAGAAGTTCTTCCCCTCCCTCCCACCCCCACGTCCATGCGCCCTCTGCATCGTCTCCCCCTGCCCTGCTGTATCGGCCTGCAATCTGAAGGGAGATTGAGAGGAGGGCAGAGAATGAAGCGCTTAATAGGGCATCCCTGCCCTGCTGTGTCCGCCCGCAATTTGAAGGGAGTGAAGGGGGCAGGACGTGAAAGGGGTACAGAAAGAGGGGGAACAGAGAGAGGGATAGGGAGTGAGTGGGGCAGGAAGTGCGGGAGGTACGGAGAGAGGGTGGTCAGGAGAGAGGGGTAGGGAGCGAAGGGGGTACAGAGAGAGGGGTTCACAGAGAGAGGGGTTCACAGATAGAGGAGTTCACAGAGAGAGGGGTTCACAGATAGAGGGGTTAGTGGGAGGCGCCGCAGCGGCAGGAGCAAGGGGGGCAAGGGTACTGGAGGAGACGGCGGGGGTGGCGGTGGTGGCGGTGGAGGCGGCAGAGGGGGTGGGGGTGGAGGTGGGGGTGGTGGTGGGGGTGGGGGCTTTGGTGGCGGTGGAGGAGGTGGAGGTGGCGGTGGTGGAGGTGGAGGCGGCGGCGGCAGCGACAGTGGGGGTGGCGGCGGCGGTGGTGCTCGTCGGGGTGGCGCTGTGCAGCGGGGAGGCTTTGGTGGTGGCCTTCGCCAGCAGCAGCAGCGTTCTCGTGAGACCCTGTCGCCCCAGCAGCTTCGTGAGTGGTACGCTGGGCGTGGGAGGTCTGGGGGTGCTGGTCCCTGCGATTACGTTCTCCGCACCGGCGACCGCAGTGGGGAGACGTGCGGAGGGCCGCACGCCACGCACCGCTGTTTCGGCCGCCTGACTGACGCCTGGCGTGCACAGTTTCCTGACGCCACTAAGCTCCCTCGCTGGGGTGATCTGCTTAGGTCGGGGGTTGCTATCTTTGATCTTGGTTATGATGCTATCCTTGCTGCTATGTATGCTGTGACTATTCGTGCTGAGGGTGACTGTTACCTGTGTGTTCCGCCCGACCCGGGCATTGAGGCTGCTGCTCTAGGTGCTAGTGAGTCTGCTGCTCCAGGTGCTGGTGAGTCTGCTCTCTCAGGTACCGCGTCGGCTCAGGTCTTGCACACTTTCACCCTTGACTCGGGTGCTTCCCGCTCCTTTTTTCGCGACTGCACCACACTCTCGCCGCTCAGTCGGCCAGTGGCAGTCTCTCTGGCTGACCCCTCTGGGAGTCCGGTCCTTGCACACTCCTCCACGGTTCTGCCGTGTCCGGCAGTCCCGTCTGGCTCTCTGTCTGGCCTCCACCTCCCCTCGTTCTCCACGAACTTGATGAGTGGAGCTGACCTTCAGGACGCGTGGGTTGACCAATTCACTCCTGGAGGTCAGCGGGTGACCCACTGTTCGTGTACTCGGACGGGCCAGCACCTGGCAACGTTCACCCGTCAGCCTGGGTCGAGCCTGTACACCCTGACTACAGTGTCTCCTCCGGTTGCTGAGTCTGGTCAGGTAGCCGCGTCGGGTCAGGTGTTTGCTGCAGCGTCCCGGTCTGGTCCTGAGTCTGCCCCCTGCTCGTGTCGCCTCCTGTCTCACCAGACTCTCCTCTGGCACCACTGCCTTGGTCACCCCTCCCTGTCTCGTCTCCGAGGCATGGCCTCCCGTGTCCTTGTCACTGGTCTTCCCCGGTCTCTCCCTCCCCTTCCCCCGGGGCCTGCCCCTACCTGCGTTCCTTGCGTCGAGGGGCGGCAGCGTGCCGCTCCTCACTCCTCCGAGTTCCCTCCGACGGAGGCTCCCCTGCAGACTCTTCACATGGACGTGTGGGGCCCCGCCCGCGTCCGTGGACAGGGTCACGAGCGCTACTTTCTGCTGGTCGTTGATGACTACTCGCGTTACACCACAGTCGTCCCCTTGCGCCGCAAGGGTGAGGTCACTGAGGTGCTGATCGACTGGATCCGCGCTGCCCGTCGTCAGCTCAGCGAGAGTTTCGGCTCGGACCTTCCTGTTCTGCGTCTGCACTCCGACAGAGGTGGCGAGTTTTCCTCCGACCTTTTGCGAGCCTTCTGTCGTGCGGAGGGCATCCGCCAGACGTTCACGCTTCCGGCCTCTCCGCAGCAAAATGGGATTGCTGAGCGCCGCATTGGCATGGTCATGGACGTCGCTCGTACGTCCATGATCCATGCGGCTGCTCCCCATTATCTGTGGCCGTTCGCGGTTCAGTACGCTGCGCATCAGCTCAACCTCCAGCCCCGGGTCTCCATGCCGGAGACCACACCTACTCTGCGGTGGACGG